TCTATCTATCTATCAATCATCTATCATCTATCTATCTATCTATCTATCTATCTATCTTTCTATTATCTATCATCTATCTATCTATCTATCATCTATCTATCTATCATCTATCTATCTTTCTATTATCTATCATCTATCTATCTATCATCTATATATCTATCTATATATCATCTATGTATCTATCATCTATATATCTATATATCATTCATCTATCTATCTATCTATCTATCTATCTATCTATCTATCTATCTATCTATCTACCTTGGTTTTCCTTCTGCAATGCTGGGGTTTCATTTATCAGTTCCTCTCATCTTTTTTCCTCTCTTGAGTCTCCACTTTTTCCTTCTGGAAATTCCCAGGCGATGAAGTCAGGTCCTCTTTTATCACCTTTCATCTGTCATTAGCAGAAATCTTTTAAAATTTGACTACCGTATGTCTAACCTTGTATACCTAGATTTCAGTTTGTAATCTTGAAAAAGACTGCTTTTATTATCAAGCACAAATTGATTACAACTTGACATTGTAATCAAAGACAACATGTCTATCTCAGGAATTCCTGAAGAAGGCAGTTCAGCAAGAATTAATCATTTAGTGCTGAGGGCTGGAAGTCCAAGATCAAGGAGGCAGACTGTGAAAAACTCCTAACTTCATGATTAATACAGCGAGGGCGTTGAATAGCAAAACGAAAACATGTGTTTAGCCAAGTTCTGATGTGTAACACCTGCTTAATAAATACTCATTGATATATATGAACTGAGCGGATATTCCCAAGTCAATCTAATAAAGGACTGACTACATAGAACTCTTCTTCTGATACAATTCACTACCTACCAGATGTTTTTAATATTATAACTGAATAGGCCCATCTTTAATATGGGTACTGGGGATTTGAACTTGGGTTCTCTTGCTTTCATTAACAAATCCTCTCACCGAGCCATCTCCCTACCCCCTACTTCTGCTCTCTTTAATAAAGAAACTACTAGACTGAGCACAGTGCCACATACCTGGAATTCCAGAACTTAGAAGTTTCAGGCAAAGGCTCATTACAAGTTCAAGACCAGCCTAGTCCACATAGTGAGTTTCAGGCCAAGTAGGTTTACCTAGTGAGAACTTGCCTCAAATGACAACAATAACAAAAAAAAACGTAAAACAAGAAAAGAAATTGTTCCTTGGTTTTAAAAGTCATTGAGAGAGTTTGGCATCTTTCAATAGGTTGGTTGAAGAATTTGGGGGTTTTGCTTAGCTGTCTTGGCTCAATGTGTAAGTGCCTCTAGTAGGATCCAGTAAGACTTTAGCTGAGGAAGTAAGTGAAGGCCGGCTGCTGAGGTGGGGTCTGCCAGTATGATTGGTACCCCACCTCCACCCTCTCCTTCCTTCAGAGTCTACACAATAAGAGTCAATGAGGCCATTTATGTCGGAAGTTAAAATCCATTTTTACTGACATTAATATTAACTGGGGCATTCTGTCTAGACCAGTTGTGTGCTACACAAGTCATTCAGAGAAACAGGAAACAAACTGTGTAGCAAGCTTTCTTGTCGGGCTACCTTTGGACCAGCAGCCCGCACATAAGGACTCAGAGACTTATTATTAATTACGAAAACTTAGCCTTAGCTCAGGCATTCCCCCAACATAATTAACCCATTTTTGTTAATTCTTTGTTCTGCCACATGGCTCCGTTACCTCTTTTTAGTACAGCACACCCAACTCGCTCTGAGTCTGCTAGTAAAATCGTGCACCTAGATTCCTCCTCCCAGTTTCTCTCTCTCTGCCCGGAAGTCCAGCCTCTACCTCCTGCCTAGCTATTGGTCCGTTAGCTTTATTATTATTATTATTACACCAATCACAGCATCTTCACACAGTGTACAAATATCCCACGACAGAACTGAACTTCAGAAGTTAAGAAGCATCAGCTATCAGGATCACTGAGCTTCCTGACTTCCTGGGCATAGGTACTGGACATGCAGGCAGGGTATCTTCAGAAACAGCTGCTGGGTAGTGTGTCTCTAAATGGGCTGCTGTCAATCACCGAAGGAGGGGATAAGTTTGAGCAGCTCAAAGAGCAGCATTAGAATAACACAAATTTACAGAAGCAAATATGTAAGAATTCAAACTCTTTCCTAATCTTGCATGTATTTGGACAGCTGCCTAACATTTTACACAGTGTACATTCTGTGAACTTGAGCACTGAGCCCTGGAATGGTTCCTGAGGTCTTTTTCCTTCCCCAATCCTTTGGAAATTGTCTCTCATTATTAAAATGGATCTGAGATTTTTCTTTTAATACGAAGATTGCTTTTGTTAAAAAATACATGGAAGCCCTGCCTCTGAGCTTTTCTTCTTTTCAATGTAAAATTCTTCTCATTTAGCTTGTAAAGAAAGATATTGAAGTATTGCGCCTCCGGGAATGTTGTCTCTCCTTATCATCAGTAATGCCACAGGCTTCTTTCAAATCATGTAATTTTAAATTGATTCGACTCGATCATTCCACTTAGAATGTTTAAAACTACAAATCATCATTGATTTCTGAACCAAGCTGAAGGCAAGACCAGAACAGGATATTGCTCTACCGAGTGGAGTTCCTGAAGACCATGTACTGATTCATGCATGTACACGTTTTGCTCTTGTGGCCGTATTAAAAGATTGCACTCCCTTCCCAACTATGAGAAGTCTGATTACTTTTCATAAAGTGAAAAGTGTATTCTTGTAGCACTGTATGGTTTTAAACAGGTGTTGGTATACAACTTATTTCCTCAGGCAAGTGGGTCTTTTCAAGTCTAGATCTTAGCACAGAAAGCATGGCTTAGCTCTCCCTCGATTCTCACAATACCCAGATCCTGTTGCTGTTTCTGTTTGCTTTCTCCTGCTTGCCAGCTCTGGTGAAGCTCCCATTACCCCTTCTGGTTGTAACTATTTATAGACCCATTTATCCCCCTTCATTCAGTGAAGACTTTAGTGGCCAGCGCAATGCTTCTGTCTGTAGACACAGTTGTTACTGAAGGTGATTTTAAAATCTGTGTAATCAGTACTTCACCAATACAAATGTACCAATTAGGATTAGGTCCGGCTACATTTAACAGAAAAGCAGTAGACCACAGTAGCCTAACATGATTGACATTTATTTTCCTCTCATGAAAACAAAGATGTCTGGAGGTAGACATCTTTTATGAGATGATTTGCTAGGTGCATAGTTTTTGCCATCCCACTGTTTCTACCTGCCTCGTGATCCAAAGTGGTTGCTGGTGCGCTAGCCATTCTATGGGCATCCTATACACAAGGAGAGAGAAATGGAGAAAGACTTAACAGTTCTACATAACATTTCCACCCATCTATGTACTGGGGAGGCTAAGAAATACATCTCTGTGTGAAATACTGGAGATGGACAGTATCCCAAGTTTGAAGTCAATGATTTTTTAAGGAGGAGAGAAATGGATGTTAAGGTAGACCCCCCAGCACTCTCTGCCACCTTACTCTTCAGTTCTATGATTATTTTGACATTTTTTTATCTGTATATGAGTGTCTCGCCTGCAGGTCTGGATGTGCATCAGATGTCAGATCCCTCCGAAGCCACCATGTCGGTGCAGGGAACCAAACTTGGGTCCTCTTAATCACCGAGCCATCTCTCTAGGCTTCCCTATGACTTTCTTACCCAGATGGCTTTCCGGTCTACCTCGCCTCACCAATCTACAGTCTTGATATTGTCGAGGATACTGCGAGTGCTAATGACTGGAGGGCCCATGAAATCTCAGTAGCAGGCATCCTAATCTCCCAAACCAGTTCTCCTCAGCTCACTAGGCTATGCCTGTGCCCTGCAACAGCCTGCTTTGCCTTCACTTTTTAGTCTGCTGGTTTCAAATCGCTAGTCCAGAGGTATACTCCCAGCCTACCATGCTCTCTCAACTGCTCTGTTGCCTCCTGGGCTAAATATCATGAACTGAATGCGTGCAATTCACACATTCACAGTTAAGAGAAAATACCACTATGATAAGTTGGGCACCACAGATAAGCAAGCCTTCTGCAGTACCTGCCAGTCACACCTCAGGCGTCTTTATTTCACTACCTCCTGGGACAATTAAAAAGAGGTTGCTTGGCAGAGTTGTAAGCGGAATATGAAACCATCAGAATGTGGCTCCGCTCTCTGCCGCGGCCAAGTAGTTGGCTGTGATCTTGTTAAAGTGCAGATTCTAATTCCGTACCTAGGGCATAAGACCTCGGATTCGGCCTTTCTAAAGTAGTTGTGCTTCCAAAATCGTCTAGACTAGAGGCTAGAGCATGAGACCCTTGAGCCTCGCCCCTACGGCGACCCTGACCCCACCCTCTGCCCCGCCCCAAGATGAAGGTGCGCACGCAACCACCACAGAGGCGGCCCTGGCGCCGGTGGCTAGAGCGGCAGGCGACTAGGGCTGGAGAGGGGGCGGGGCTGGCACGCAGGGGGCGGGACAAGAGGACCGGTGGGCGGGGCCGTGAACAGAGGCGGGTCCGCGCCGCGGGCCTTGTAGCCATTTTAGGAGGAAACCCGGGTCGCCGGCTCGGGGCGCGGCTTCAATTTCAACAACTTTATTGGTCTCTCTGTACGCCGAACAGCCGGCGTGCGTGTGGCCCGGGGATCCCGGAGCACAACGCCAGAGGTGAGCGGCGCGAGGGTGTGCGGGGCCGGTGCTGCAGGGCGGAGGAGGCTCCAGGAGCGGGTTCCCCAGCTGAGGCGTCCCCGAAGTGGGCAAGGGCGGGGACCCCGGGCGCGGCCTCCTGCGGCGGGGATTCCCTTCCCGGGCGCAGGGGCGGGGCCGGGACGCCCCTGACGCGGCCGCGGGGTGTTCCCCGCCCGGTGTCGTTCCCCGCGGCAGGTTGCCCCCAACTCGAGCCGCAGCCATGGGAAACACCACCAGCGAGCGGGTGTCCGGGGAGCGCCACGGTGCCAAGGCTGCGCGAGCCGAGGGCGGCGGCCATGGCCCGGGCAAGGAGCACAAGATCATGGTGGGGAGCACCGACGACCCCAGCGTCTTCAGCCTGCCCGACTCCAAGGTGAGGTAACCGGCTGTCGGCTGCTTCGCTCTTCTTGGTTCTCACTCCCAGGGGTTACCGGTGTTTTAATTAAAGGGCTTTCCCGCGGGCAGAGATGTGGAGTGCTAATGCCTCCTAGGTACTACCTCCAATTAGGATGGAAGCGCTGACTTTTCCTGCTGTTCTGACCGATCTGTGGGCCAGGCTTTTAGGACGGGTACCAGAGACACGTCCCCTGCTCGCCCCATCCTTGGGTCTACCTGACGCTGCCTTCTTGTAGAGCTTGCAGGATGTATAGGTTGTGAGCGAAACTTAAGACGGTGCGTTGTGTGAGCTGCTGATTCAGGCTCCGTTTCTCACGTTGGCCTCAAGATAGCTAAATGAATTTCTTTTCCCTGAAAATGTCTTTGTGTAGATAGCGTTCTCAATCTCTCAGGTGCACTGCACCCCCTCGTTTGATCCTAGCCCCCTTTTGCGTGGCTCTCAGCAGCCATCACTTAACTGTTTGAATACATTAGCCTAGTCTTGGGGATCAATACAGGACATCCTTTGATTAACGGCTCAGTTTTTTATAAACGTGCCGTCTGTAGCTGTGCTTTTTGCACACCTGGCTGCGCTTTGCGGGAGAGCAAGTTACTTCCCTTCGCTCCCCTGCAGTACTCCAAGATGTTGCCTGAGGCTCAAAGCCATCCACAACTGCCCCGAACACTTTCAGCCAAAGGCCCGCAGTCTCGTTCACGCAAAAGAAGAGGCAGATGGAGCTGACAGCAGTGATTGCTACCCTAACGTTCCTAATCTCTTTTCGAAATGTCAGCATTAAATACATTTAATTTCTCCAAGTGGGCTGTCTAGAGTGAAAAAGAAAGCCCGGAGGGTTGGAGAGGATTGGAATGTATTTGACGTTTATCATTTTATCCATCTCCACTGAGCTGAGGCTTAGGCAAGTGAATAGAGTTTTATTTACCGCTTTGACAGCAAGTGAAATTTGGATTTTACGGCTGATTTTCTTGGATTCTGACTGAGAACACCGTTAGGAAGAGAGAGGTGTTGAGCTGGGCATTTCTTGGGGTTCTTTGTTCCCTCTTTCCTCTCCAACCTTAGGACTTCTTCCTCATCGTTTGGGCTCTGCGCTCAGCCTGGATTTTCTTCTCCAAAGCTTATCCAGGGTGACAGGCCGTGTATTTTTGCTTATTCCTACATTGATGACTCAGGCTTTGGGTACATTCAAACTGTGACTGCAGCAATTGGTGCCCTGACTAAGAGCCAGGTTGCTCTGTGTGAGTTTGGGCCTGTTTTGGAACGTTCTTTCCCTAACACCTTGCCGTTCGTGAAATGAGAAAAGTAGTTCCAGCAATTCCCCGTCTCAGCCAGATGGAAAAACTTTAGAGTTCATGTGCCCTCCCCAGCAATCTCCCTTCATCATCTGCAGGCCGTATTTTGAATTGCCGGTTTGCTGCTGTTCCTGGTAGTTTTGCTGATGGCTCAACTCAGTAAACAGTCTTTCTGCTAGTCAGCTGCAGTCGCTCCTAGCACAGAAATGTCATGTCATAAGTGGAAGGGCTGTGCTCCAAAGCCAGGCGTATTAATAGTGTAGCGCTTTCAAATCCTAAACTGAAAATCCCCAGTCCTAAAAGTAATGGATAGAAACAGTAGGGGGAGGGGAGGACATCTTTGCTTCAAAGGTCAGGCTTTCTAGTAGACTCAGGGGTTCTCCATCCTGTTTGTACATTAGGATCCCCAAGATTGGTTTAAAAACCTTGTGGGAAATCTGACACATTCATAAAATAAACTGTGGATATGTCACCCGGTTTAAGTGGCGGTGAAAGGTGAAGGAGTGTTTTTCTGTTCTCCAAGCCATCTTCCACCAGCTACTCTGAAACAGATGTCAACAAATAACAATTTTAACATTTTAGGGTACCTCATTTCTAACATTTTAGGGTGTACTTCACAAGACAACCTTAAAGCGGATACGATAGTGGCTCAGGCCTGTAATTGCAGCTGTTCAGAGGCTGAGGCAGGAGGATCACTGCCAGTCTGGACTAGAGTGAGAATTTGACCTCCTAGGAAACAAAACAAAACATGTTTTTGTTTACTATAACATAATTAATTACAGTATAAATTACCCGAAAGCTTTAAAAATATGTTCTTGGATCCTATTTGCGAATCAAATCTGAGGGTTGTTCTTAGGCGAATGTAAACATTCCCAATGATCCGTTGCCCCCTCCCCCGTGGTTTTTTGTGACAGTGGAGTCCAAAGCTTGGTCTTAATCCAGTCTCCTGAATGATGTAAAAGCCTCTGCATTTCTTTCTCCATCTACTCTGCTGTGTGCTTGTACAGTAGTTTTAAGGACTACTGGGAGACAGAATGGAAGGTAAACATTTTCATTTTGGAAAAAGCAGGGGAAAGCCCAAATAAATAAGCTAGTCCTTTCTTATGCTAACCTTCATTGCTTTGTTTGTAAGTTTGACTTGGTACCATACAGCCCTGTTCCAGTCTGTAAAAGACCACATAATAAGTAACTTAGACTCTGGGTCATACATAGTCTGTGGTCGTAACTGTCCAGGTCTACACCACCACCACCACCCACCCAGAATGTTGTACACAAACAAGTGGGTGGCTGTTTCCAAACAAAAGCTTTGTAAAAAGCCATCTGCTCACTGGCTGCAGTTCCCCACACTTGTCCCGAAGGATGGAAATGGAAAGAAACTAAAGAATTCATTTTTCTCAGAAGCCTATAAACCCCATTTAGTAATGGGTCTGCTTTTGCTCAAGGAAGATAATTTTGGTCCTGTGCCCCCTAGCTCCAGAATGTTAGCCATCCTCCTGGGGTAATTATATGAACCTGGCTGCAATTAGCAGGGAAGGTTTCACAGCCATTTCCTCTGTACCAATCAGGAGTCTGACTTTGGAATTGGTGTCAATCCATGATTGATGATGGTGCTGGAGATGAAACCTCCAGCTTCCGCGCTCCTACACAGAACTGCATTTCCACCCCAAGTATCTACATTTTTATTTATTTATTTTTATGTGCACATTTGTCTGTATGAGGATGTCAGATCCCCTGGAACTGGGATTGTAGACGGTTGTGAGCTGCCATGTGAGTGTTGGGGATTGAACCTGGGTCCTCTGGAAAAGCAACCAGTGCTCTTAACTACTGAGCCATCTGTCCAGCACCCCCTTAAATATTTAATGTTCTATTGTATAACCTAGTAGCTTAAACAGCATTGTTAATTACTTACGAATTTTGGTATCTATAACTTTATCACAGTTGACAGTCAAGACCAGTTTGCCTCTGAAAAAACATATACCTGGCTTAATTGTTTTTTAAAGAATAGTACTTGGCTTTCTTACATTTTTTTTCTCGTAAGAGGCTCTCAGAAGCATAGTCTATTGCCTGCACACCAGTTAGACTGGAGGAAGGGTTTGAAGGTTGTCTGTGTGTTTGAAGGGTGACCCAGAGGCTCTGCAAGGAGAATGATGAATACATTCCAGGCAGTGGGCTGTGATTCAGGCAATGCTGGAACATAGACTATTTGACCATGTCTTTTCTGTAGTTTGTTCAAACTGTGATTTAACGCTGAATTTAGGGTAGCTATCTTTAGTTGAAGCCTAGAACCTTTAATACCCTTGGGAAACTTACCTCTTAAAAACCCTTGGGTCATAATTTATTCTAGGGATGACCTACTCCTTCTTACAGCTCCCTGGGGACAAAGAGTTTGTACCCTGGCAGCAGGACTTGGATGATTCTGTGAAGCCCACCCAGCAGGCCCGGCCCACCGTTATCCGCTGGTCTGAAGGAGGCAAGGAGGTCTTCATCTCTGGGTCTTTCAACAACTGGAGCACTAAGATTCCACTGATTAAGAGGTGAGGGCACATGTCTCCGTTGAGTGTATAGAATGCAGGAACAGACACCTGATCGCCTTTCTTAGGGGACAGACTAGGACTGGGGGGGGGGAGTTTCTAACAGCATTGTGGGTGCATTCTTCAGGACTGTGTTTCTCAAGCCATTTCTTGTCTGGAATTAGCTAATTCCTATTGCTTTGATTTCTGTATTAAAGCAAAATACATTGTGACATTCTAAGTGTAATGCCAGTTCATTGCTGGCAAAGCAAGTGAGTGATTTATGTGGTTGTCAGAGTGACCTTTTGTGCAATAGGTCATTTTCCAGAAAAGGCTCACCAAAATATGGAAAGAGTACCCTGAAATATTTCCCAACCCAAATCTATCTTTTACCTTATTCATACTTGTGAGAACTCTGTTCTTCATGTGTAATATGAGTGTATATACATGTACATGATACATACATGTACATGCAGTCATGTGTGCCCATGTGTGTACATGTGGAGGCCACAGCAAGACCTAAATATCTCCCTCTGTGGCTGTCAGCCTTGTTATCTTGAGACAAGCTCACTGAGCTAGAATTTCTCCATTTCAGCTAGCTTTACTGACCGACAGTTTTCTCCAGGTCTGCTTGTCTCTGCTCCCCAATGCTGGAGATTCAGGCATGTGTAGCCATGCCCAGCTTTTGATGTGGAAACTAAGGATTCAAACTTAGGTCCTCAAACTCAAAAGGAACACTCTTCCTGGCTGAGCCCATCTCCCCAGCCCCAAGATGTTGTAATATTTCCCCCTTTTCTGTTTAAACAAAAAAGAAAGGCTTTCACTTTAACATAGTAAGATTACATATAACAAAACAGTTATCAAGTAAGAATTACAGTTACAATAATTATATTTTATTTTTTATCATAACTAAGGAAAACTATAACTATCCATTCTTCAACTCCATCAAAGACTCCAGAAGGATATAATATTACCTAAGCAAACAAGAAATCAAAACTCTAGAAATGACAGAGACATCTCGCTGCCTGGACAGTCACCCAAAGTTCCTCTGTACCGTTGGGGCATCCATCTTTGGCCTTCAGGCCCATAGTATCCAGCCGACTTTTCCATGAAGCAGGAAATTTCAAAGACAGTTCAGTCACTTTCTGCTGTGTCCTGCAGAATGTCTCGCAGACTCTTTCATGAGTCAGGAACCCTAAAAGACCATCTCACCTTTAGGCAAGTTCAGCAGTCCTCTCTCTGCGGGTTCTTTGTGTCCAGTTTATGCAACAGTCCAGGCAAGAGCAGTTTCTTGCCAAAATGGCTATCAAACTCCATAAAGGAGCCTCTTCGATGCCCATCTTCCTCTTGAAATAGATTGGTGTTTCCAGGAGCAGACATGTCTCATTGTCATGAAAAACTCTAAGTTATTAAAACATTAAATGCCATGTTCTGTAGTCTTTGAAAGATATGAAAAATGCCTACCTAATTGAAATATATCTCTATATATCTAGAAAATCTAACATGACTACAAGCTTGACTATTATTTGTGATTATCCATTAACAACCTATATTTCCTAATTATACATTACATTTTAAAAATGAACTACACAATCACAATACCTTAATCAAGATCAGAAATATATATACACATAACAAAATTGACCTTAAAATCCATACCTATGCAAATTATTTATACCTATATCATTTCCCCCTTTAAATGTAAAAGAACATTTATAAACAATATTTTGGGAACATGGGCACAGTTTTTTCTCTCCAAACTGCTTCCTGCTGAATGGGGGCGTTGTTAATTAGGTCTTTCATGGTATAACCTGTGTGCTAGGTTCATCTCAGTAGGCAGTTCAGCAGTTGAGTGAAGTAATTTTTTGAGGGTGTTCACAGCAACTTTTCGGGAGGTCGTGGTCTATCATACCATATCAGGATAGAATCAATCCACAGGGTCTGGTCCTCTGTGAAAACAAAAGAAGACCCTCTCCAAAGCATCATATCCTTAGACCCAAATTTTGAAATCGTAATACCCTTATATCCATTCTGGTTTAGCTTGGCAGCCCATGTAATGAAATGTCTCTCTGTACTTAGCTCCTTCACAGTCAAAAATTTTAAAGAAAACACAATGTACATAATCCAGACTCTCTGTGAATTTTCCATTTTTACATGGCTTATTTTTCTTTATTTCTTTTAATCTCTTAACTATCTGTAATCTGTCTCTTTAAAGACTTTACCCTTTTTTTTAAGGCATTAACTTTATTCTCTCTATATACTTTTTTTTTTCTCTCTCTCAAGCCTACGTACACTCATCCAACACTGTGATCCATTTAGTGGTTTGTCTGAATCTGTTTTATTGTGAATCTGTAATTTTTTTACTATCCAGGAGCATTTCTTAAAATGTTAAGCAGTTCTTTAAAAACTTAAGTCGCACCATGTACAGGTAATACGGTACTGCCTGTGTCCTGCCCAGTCAAAACCTTAACTGCAGTTATCACAGTAATTATGGTAGTTCCTGCTTGAGACCAGCTCAGTTCAGCATGGAGAGCTGAGCCACTCCCGCCTCAGAGCCATTTGGTGCCCCTGAGACACACACACAGTTCCAGGCACACAGCAGTCCACATTGCCATCAAGCAAGCTGTAGCACTTTACTCCAAATGCTCCATTCAAAGACTCTGTCTCCTGTAGGAGCCAGACAGAGATGGCAATGGCGGCACAGCCCAGAAAGCCGGCATTTTAAAACAGCCAATTTTTTCCTGCTGCTGAGTCAGGACAATTTCTCTCTGCGGCATGCCAACCACAAAGAGCAAAAAGCTGCATTAAACTCTCTTTTTCTTATTTTTAAGCCTTCTCAGGTTTTTAAGTGGATTTAGTCCATCACGTCTGGGCGCCACTCTGTTGTAATAAGAGCGGGGCTTTGTCCCCGCCACCCGGCAGCCTGCACAGCTAGCTTTATACCCGAAATAATTACATGGAAACTATATTCTTTTAAACACTGCCTGGCCCATTAGTTCCAGCCTCTTATTGGCTAGCTCTTACATATCGATCTAACCCATTTCTAATATCCCTGTAACACTACAAGGTGTCTTACCAGGGAAGATCTTAACCTGCGTCTGTGTCCTGTAGGAGAATCATGGTGACTCACTGACTCAGTTTCTTTCTCCCAGCATTCTGTTCTGTTTACTCCGCCTACCTAATTTTCTGTCCTATTAAAGGGCCAGGCAGTCTCTTTATTTAACCAATGAAATTAACACAAAACAGAAGACTCTCCCCCATCACCAAGAAATCTGTTCTGCTGGAACAAAGCAGTTTACTAAGATAAAGCACCCACCTTTTCTCCCCCACAGGGTTTGGATAAGAATGACGTTATTGGGAGAGGTTGACAGGGACATGTCTTGAGTGATATAGAAAAAGAGGGTGCATTTATACTTTGCATGGGGGCGGGGTGGGCACAAGGCCTGTGGTAGTTTAGGAATGTAGAAGGGCATTGGGATGGTGACATCATTGCCCCTGTCTCCATTCTGTCTTCTTTAAGGAACTTGAACTGTTTGACCTTCTGTTTGCTTCCCTAGTCATAATGACTTTGTTGCCATCCTGGATCTTCCAGAGGGAGAACACCAGTACAAATTCTTTGTGGATGGACAGTGGGTTCATGATCCATCAGAGGTAAGGGCCTTGATTTGCAGGAGAGCCTCAGTGGCCTCATTGTGACTTACTGTCCTCTGGTTCAGTAGACAGCTCCCTACTAGAGACTTTTTAGAAAAGTAAAGGGGAGGTTGGGTGAAGAAGATGGATTTGAAAAGGGAATCCAATCATTTTGTTATTGTTCACTGTTTCAGCCTGTGGTTACCAGTCAGCTTGGCACAATTAATAATTTGATCCATGTCAAGAAATCTGACTTTGAAGTATTTGATGCTTTAAAGTTAGACTCCATGGAGAGCTCTGAGACATCCTGCCGAGGTAATTCTGGACTATTGCTTTCTCTTTTTGTCTTTCTTACAGTGCATATTCCTTCCCCAAAGTGGTTTCTTATTTTATTTGTATTTTCACTTCTTCTCAGGAATCTCATTAATCACACCCCACATATCCCACTCTAACACAAATTCATGGCATGTCTGCCTTTTTTACTCTGATACACTGTTTTCCATTTTACCTTTATATAACCTCCAGTACCCTGTGGTTTCAAAAGCTGTTTCCAGTAAGATTTCATAATTTCCATTAGCATCTAGTGATATTATCTATAAAGACTGGAAATGTCTGGTGTGTCTTTCTAACCTGAGTCAGCTAGTTTGAGAGCTCACCTGACAGTTACAGTTTTATGAAAGCCTTCAAGTATAATTGCCACTGAGGGAGAGAGAAAAAGAAAGAAAACAAAGCAGTGGTTGTTCTCCATGGAATTGAGTATGCAGGGTGGAATACCCTTTCCCAAGGTCTTTGTCTGTGCTTGTTCTCTCTAGCAGCTGAGGCACGTTTTACAAACCACTTCATAGCTACTCTCTCATTACTGTATGGAGTGTGCCTTCTCCACTGAGCCTGCAGCGCCTGCCTCTGCTGCTTGTCATGCCATCGTGCAGCCAGCTGCCGGTAGTAAAATCCAGGGCTCAGACCCTCAGTGACCTCAGTTCTAATGTACACAGCAGGATCTTGTGGATGAGGGACAGGTAGCCCATAGCATAGTAACTATCAACTGAGAAAATATTTCAGTATATAAACTCAGAAAGTTATGGTGAGCATTCTTATTGGCTGAAGGGGTGGTGATCTTAAAAACTGTGAGGCCACTAGAACTGTGATTATATTATGATCTGCAGAGTAACCACAGAGTATTTGGCAGTCAGTCATCATTCTGTAGTGAGAAGCCTAGCACAGTTTCGGGTTCACCCCGTTTCCTCACCCAGTATGGAAGGCACAGAGTCCATTTATTAGGAATATGCAGATAATGGGCGTGGCCATGTGCCTGACTTTCCAATGTCCAGCTTAGATGTTTTAGTAAATGGACAGCACGTGGAAATTGCCCTGTGTTATTTCCCAGTGGTGTTCTGTGGGTAATGTGACCACAACTGGCCGTGCTTTGAGAAGTTCCCTGGTCTGCGTATTTGAAGTTTTGTTAAATACGGCATTGTTGCCGCTTCTGTCCGTTTGCCTCATATATTGAAGCAAATCTGAGTTATTAAAATAAACTTATTAAAGTCTTTTTTGTAGAGCTGTAAAATTTAAAAATTTAAAACTAAGAAAACATAGTTCATTTAATTTTTGTAAGTTTAGCATAAATACTTTTTATTTTTAAGTAGAATTCTGATAACCTAAAACACATTGAATTGTACAGTTTATCCATTTTTTTAGTATATTGAGTTTTAAAACCACTGTCACCTCCAAAGAAAGACTGTTCCCATCTCTTTCTCTTCTCTGCCCTGTGTCAGTCACAAAACTACCATATGGAATTGCCTGTTCTGGACAGTTCATAGAAACGTAATCATATACCATGTGGCTTCTTTCACTTAGCGGGCTTCCGGGGCTTTGGTGCCTGTTGAAACATGTATCAGTACTTTTATAGCTGAATAGAAGTCTACGGTATGACAATTCCTTTTTGATTATCCACCCATTGTTGACAGACATTTGGAATTTGTTCCTCTTGGGAGCTCTTTTAATACTGCTTATAGCACTCATGGTCAGGTTTTTGGGTGGGCTTATGTTTTATCTTAGATGGGAACACTCAGTACTGGGTCACAAAGTTTGATTAACTGTTTGAGGATGACCATACTGTTTTTCAAAGTGGCTCTACTATTACTCATTTCTGCTAGTGATGGAAATACTGTAGTTTGAAGCTTCGAGTTTCTCCACACTTTTGCCAGTGCTTGCCATTTCAGCGGCAGCCATCCCGCTGAGTGTGAAGTGGTGTTTTAGTGTAGCTTACATCTGCACTTCCTTGACTACAGCAAGGTTTTGTTCTGTCTGCTGTAATCGTTGTAGACTTAGAGTGTCTAACATTGTCTGTTGCTTTGGTAGAAAGACGATGAAATCTTTTCACACTGAGTTCACAGAACACCTTCATAGCCACCATCACTTTGATTTCCTCAAAAACATTTTGAATGAGGAAGATTTTTATCTTATGGATGAGGAAACCGACCATAGTAAAGGGATCTTCCTCGGTCATGTGGCTGACGAATAGAGCTGGTTTCCTGGAGCCTAGGTCCTGGCCTCACCGCTTCCTCACATCATGGTGCATGTTGGGAAGCCTCCCGGTCCATGATCAGGACGACTCCGACATTGCCTCTGCTTCCTTACGGTTACTGGCCCAGTAGGTCACAGATCCTTATGCTCCAGGACTTGTGCTACATATAAGATTAATATGTGCATTGATAGCTTTCACATGCATTGTTACTAACCCTTCAACTTTCCTTCATGTTTGTATAAATATTTTTCAGACCTGTCCAGTTCACCGCCAGGGCCTTATGGTCAAGAAATGTATGTGTTCCGATCTGAGGAGAGATTCAAATCCCCACCCATCCTGCCCCCTCAACTACTCCAAGTTATTCTTAACAAAGACACTAATATTTCAGTGAGTATTCTGAGCAGGTTGCTAGAGTATCTGGGGAATCTCTAGGACATTGAGGCCAAACTTCAGTAACCGTGGGGCTGGGATTATGACACATGTGACAAGGCAGTCAGCTGTGTGCACGTCGAGATCACTGTGGAATCCTTTTTCAAGGACTAAACTGTGACTTCTGTAGGTACCAATAGCAGAATTTATAGTTGTTTCTGTTTATAGTAAAGTCAGAACCAATCTATGCTGGAACCAAGTCTGCTGTGACTTCTATTCCAACACAAGATAAGGATACTTTCATTAGGGGGATGTAAAAAAATTTACAACGTTTTATGTAAATAATTTTTATCTCTGTTTTGCTTTGTTGATAGTTGATTTCCAGGAAAATTATTTCTGCCCTTTCATCCAAACCTTCTATATTTATTAGCAAGGTTTTTGTTTTGATTCTATAAAGGAAAATTACAGATGTTAGGCTTAGCATTTCATCCATAGACTAGGGATTTTTCCAGATTTTATGACCTGGGATGCATGATTCATAGGAGACAGTGTACCTATTTAGAATCCTTACCAGTCCAGAGGAACAGTACACCATTTGTCTTGTCTGCATTTAATCACATTTTCGGGGTTGGGGGTTGTTTTTTTCCCCTAGTGTGACCCGGCCTTACTTCCTGAGCCCAACCATGTTATGCTAAACCATCTCTATGCGCTGTCCATTAAGGTGAGTGGTGGCCCTGGTGTTGCACAGCCTCCTGACTGGAAGGGTAAGAGTCATGCATGTTCTCCAGTGGAACTGACAGTCAAATAGAAGAGCTGTCTTTTTCTTCCCTCGCAGGCTACTGGATTTTAACCCCAGTCTTTGCCTGTGTTCAGGCTAACTAAACTGTCAGTGATGGGGACCTTTCTGCTTCCCAGTGTCTGTGAGCGGCTGGACCCTTTGTACCATCTGTTTACTTAAGCTTGAGTTCATACTAGTTGGATCCTACGTGCTGAAAATCAGGTCCTTCAAAAAATGCTTGAATGAGACAGTAAAACTTCTTAAAATGTGGAATCGAGCTATGTTGAGATATCCTCTTGTGTCCCCAAGCATTTCCATCTCTTGGGTTGTAGGTAAGGAGGCAGTGTGACCAGATGGTCTGTGTCTTTCCCACCCTGCCCTAGAGTTCTTAGTTTCTCTGTTGCCTTAATGTCTCTGTGGCTTCACTGTTAGCATAAAGGTATGTAGTTCTCTGGCTGGCTAAGCTGATCCTCGTGGGAACTACTTGGAGAAGTTGGTGGAAGTCAGATTGAGAAGTCTCCTCCCAGATATTCTAAGTAAGTGTACCTAGGGTGACTCCCAGCTGTTTCTCTGGAAGCTGCTTAGATTTCTTAGATGTGCAGTGAGAACAGGGAGGTCACTGATAGAGCTGACTTTAATAGATTATGTAGGTGTATACAAAATTTAATATACTGAATTTCATTTTCCTAGTAACCTGGAGAAGTAAGTATTATTTTTAACCCCTGTTTTATAGATAAAGAAACTTAAGACTCAGAGAAGGTCAGATTGCCAGTAAGTATAAGAGGGCTGAGTTCCAGTCCTGCTAACCTCACCCCTGCTCTTTCCTGCCTGTCACCACGCAGGTCTTCTCACGGGTGCTTCTCTTTCACCTGCCCCCACATCTGCAGCTCCTGTGGAGCAGAGTTCACCTGCCAGTGTCTTAGCACAGTCTAGATGGAGTGTCATTCTGGGACATGGTCTTTGTGGGTAGTCCAGGGTGAAGGAAAATAGCAGACTGCTATCTTCTCTGTGTTGGACTTTTGGGGTTCTTTGAGATCTGGTAGAATTTTGTCTCCTGTGACTGCTCTGTGGCTGTCAGTTGGTGTCCCTTGTCACCTCTTCTGTGGTACAACCATGCTCTTTTATACATCTTGGGTTTTGGTGCCTTTGCTCCCTTGTTCTGCTTATGACACAGGTCAGTGCTGACTGTTTGGCCTGACTGGGTTCTCAGCTTGTTCCGCCATGTAGAATTGACCCACCAGAATGGCTGTCTAAGGAAGCTTCCTGAACTTTAAGGATAGTCAGGAACCCCCACGGTTCTCTCCAGGTCAGAGAGCACATTACGAGTTTGTCCTTGGTGTCAAGTGGCAGTTGGACCTGCTTCAGGGCTTAGGGATGAGTTCTGAGAAGGATCATTTCCCTTCCTTACTACAGTTAACATTTCGTTCTGGAAATGATTGACAGCGCCCTTTTCCCTTGCTAGACTCAGGGCTAATATTGTAATTTGAAATGAGAAGGGGAGTAAAGTTGTAAATGAGTGTTTCCTCGTGACCTTTTATGTATCAGATCTTTGGTCTGATCGTCTCTCGTGATCCTCAGAACCACTTTACTGGTAGCTCTTGCCCTTTGAAGAAGTCTTAAAAGGGGCAGAGGGACATAGAGACCATCATATAGACAACTCAAGACTACCAGCCAATACCACAACAGGAGTCTGGACTGGAACTGAGTTGGATTTGACAGCAAAAGCAGCCTCTTTCTCTTATTTCAGACTGTCTCTTGAAACGTGAATGTATTGGTTGGTGTTGTCAACACCCTGAGGTGCGAGTCTGAGCATACCTGTGGGGAGTTATGTTGAACACATTAATTGGGTATACGAAGACCCTTCTTAATGCGGGCAGGCCATTCCCTGGGCAAGGTAAATACGCTGAACACAAACCTGCAATGTGATCAGCTGCTTCAGCTTCCTGATGCCGTGGCCTCCCTGGCATAAGGACTATAATCCAGAACCTTGAGCCAAAATAACCCTTCCCTCCATCCAGTTGCTTTTATTGGAGTACTTTAGCGAGACAGTGAGTGTCTGTGAAAGATTGACAGCTGGGGAGATCTGCAGCCACCCAGATTAACCAGTTAGCTGTGTGTGCTTTTTCTCCCCTGCAGGACAGCGTGATGGTTCTTAGTGCAACACATCGCTACAAGAAGAAGTATGTCACCACCTTGCTATATAAGCCCATTTGAAGAGGACATCTCTCCTTGCCTCCAAGGATTCTGGAGCAACATCTCCCTTGCCTTTGAACTGACCCAGTCTCCTCTGAGACTGGAAGGCTGATTTGTGTTGAGGCTGATACGTGTGTTTCAGAGCCTCTAAGTAGAGGGCTCTGCTTTTGCATTTGATTGCAGATGAGAGCTTTATGAGTTCATGGAGTTTATTTTAAGAAAAACAAAACCACATATATGCATATGAGAAGAAGGTTACTGGGAGCCTCCTAGCCCAGCTGTTTAGGTTCTCTCTGCCTGTGGGTAGTTGCCAGGGCCTGAGTGGGAAGCTGTGGCCGCAGGAATGAGTGTACCGGAAGCTTCTTTTCCTAAAGTGAAAGAATAGCAAACTCTTAGGATCCTTGTCAGGCAGAGGTTCTGAAGCTGTACCCTGGTGTCAAAGGGTCAGCTGTGTGCCAGGCTGCAGCCCTCCTTACAGCTGCCTCATTGCAGGTGGCTTTCCTTGCATGGATTGATTCTGTATTCCCACAGTATGTGACGCAGTCTACTGTGGTTTTTATATGACACTAGATGCCCCACAAGAACGCTCCTCATTTTATGTATTCTGTGTAGTAGTTTCCCTCAGATCTCATACATGACCCTTTGGAAAGTTGTATGGGATTAGACTCACCTCGGAGACTGGAGGTGCCAGGGCCTCCTTTTTAGCCCAGCACGGGCCAAACCCAGTATGTTAGAGCTTACTTTAACGTCTAAAGAAAAGCCATGGTTCAGAATCAAGACAGATGCAGCTCTTCAGTGTGGTCCTATGTAATGACTGCATGGCACGTGCTCACAGGGCTTCTCCCGGGCCTGGGCCTGTTTCCAGCTGCTCTTTATCACAGCAGATGGTTTGTAATATAGAATTAGGGAGCCTCCCATATCTTTTATCCCTGAAAGAGTTTTATATGCCTACGTTTTTCTTTAATAATATAAAGAAGCATATCCATCAGTGTTAATGTCGATTAAAGAAGCTCAGGCTTTTGAGAAATGGTTCTTAAGATTTTCTTCTCCAGTATAGGGAATTCTACAGTCCTGGGTCAATATGACCAGACATGTGTACCTCATTACCCAAGCACTACTTTGGACCTGAGTTCGTTCCTGCAGGCTCATCAGACGCACATACTAGATGTCCCTAGCTTTAAAGATGTGCAAGGTGAGGAACTACCCCTGGTATTCATAACCATGCTCAGTGTTGTTCTTTGCACCAAGTTTTAACGAGATGTTTTTTCTTTTGCCTCTTTCAAATGTGTTTGACGATGGAGTGGGTCATTGATTATCATGGACTGAAAAGTACTCAACCCACTCAGGTTTCAAAGAAAATACTTTCTCCCAGTATCTTGACACTTCCCGTTTTGCAGATAAATGCAAGTCAAGCATTAAACGTTTATGGTTGAGAGACTTCATGTTTGCTGAGATGAGCCAGCCACACTGAGGGATCTGCAGGTCAGTTTAGCTACCTCCTGACTTTCCCACCCGTTGACACAGACGTCCTCTTTGGATTCTGAGACCTCCTTGATCACAAGTGTGAAGCTGGAAATGGGATGTTTCACAGGGGGAATACAGATTGGTAAATGCCTTGATAGGTAATTTGGTGGGGTAAGTACTGCTCCCTCCACCCTGAGCCACTTCTCCCTCCTCTCTTGTGGAGAATATGTACTGTCAGCCAACTTTCTGGATGGTGTGCCCTTTTGGAAACTAAGGTCTAATCCTATCATAACCAACTCGGAGGCTCTGCGGTTCCACTGGAAAGCTTTTTGTTGTGTTTGCCAGTGCCCATCTAGAAGTGGGCCATGGAGGAGGATTCGATCTCGGTTGTACGCAGTGGCTTCTCTCGTATCTGTCCTTGTTAACGTACGAGCTGGAATCCTCTGTTCGTGGATTAAATTTTACTCCACACGGGTGTAGCAGTAGAAGGGTTGGGAAGCTGTCTCCAGTCGCAGGCTGAGACTGTCTTATCAGGTGTGGCTGTGGTGACAGGGTTTTGGTGCTGGTGACCTTCATGTCCTTCTTGCTTCTCATCTGGAAACCATAGCCCCTTCTCAAGTTTGCTGGTCTCCTCCCTGGGGAGCTCTGTCATTGTCACCAGGACAGAGGAGGTCACTGCTTTTCTATTAGTTACCTTAAAGGACAGTTTTATAAAGTCAAAAGGTTAGTAAGGTTAGTAGAATTTGGAAATAAGGCAAAAACATTTTAGTCTTCTTAAATTTCCTTTTTCTCTTCACCTATGGGAACTTTCAGTCAGAGTTGGTAAAGCAGCCCCGAAGAAGGGCCGCCTACCTCTTATCCAGCCGTGATGCCGTTTGAGGGTTATGAGGAAACGGAAGTGATGAACGAGCTGAGGAGTGGTACCGGGAGGCTGAAGGGTCAAGTAACTTGGAACTGAAAATATCCTCTTTAAAAGCGAAAAAAATTAAAGCTGGGCACAGCCTGGATCCTTGGATTTCATTGTACGGACACCTTAGCAGCCTGTAAAATGTCTTCTCTCAGCCTCTTGTTGGGTTTGTCCTCTGCCTTTCCTCTGCATTCTGTTTGATGTCGTTGGTCAGTAAGACAAGTTCACCAGGGTCTCAAGTCAAATGCTACCCAAAAAACAGGTTGTGGCTTTGTCTGAGTGAAGAACTTTCATACAATAGCTGTTAATCCACTTCCTGTCAACCTAGACTGGAGTGGGGTTTATCCACTGTAGGCAGCACTCCCACAGGGCACATCCAGCTTCGAGAGCACTGGCCTCTCAAGTATGAAGTACAAAGGAGAACCTCATCCACTCCTATTGGCTTTGGTTTCTTGTTGATCTAATGGATCTTCCATAAATCTTCTGAAAGGTGTCAGTATTCTATGCATGCTGCTGAAGGGAAGGGAAGGGAAAATGGGGGAACAGGGCTTTAAATGTTTGACCTCAAAACAATATGCAACATGTCCCTATGCGTGTGAGTGAGTGTGTGATAGCCACTCTTCTAGAGATACTTTTGTCCTCGTGTTCTTGTGATTTGGGGCTTAAGAAAGCAGATAAGTATTTTGTTCCTGTATTATGACTCATGCTCAAAGCCAAGTTCTCGCCATCTTCTGTCGGACTGCAGGCTCCAGTGACTCTGAAGAGGAGACTTGGCGGGAGTGAGGATCTCCAGAACTCTCTGGTCTAGGCATTTTTCTATCCTTTAGTGACCGTCACAGCTGGAGACTAAGGACTGATTTCTGCAGTGAACTTAGGAAGTGTTTGGGATAAAAAGCCCAATCTTTTTTTCAATCATAGGGAAGAAGAAAAAGTCTCAAGTCGGCTACTTGTAGGATGTGCTCCCTCTTGGAGCCTGAGCTGGACTTTGTCTCCACTTGTGATTCTCACTAGTGTTTTGAAGTAAGCAAGCTTCACTAAAAGTAAAACACTGAGTAGTTCCAACAGAATTGTGTGTGGCACAGTACTTTTTCATTACAATTGGTGTGAAATACTAAATATTAGGTATTTGTGGGTGTCAGATTATACAGTCAGGACACAGGAAGAGTTGTATCAGGTGTTGGCCATCATCTGTTCCCCTCGGTAGAATGCCTTCTGCAGCTATCATTCTAGGCCAGCCCGATACCAGTGTTAATTCGTCCTAAGTTCTGTACCAGGTGGTCTGTCTGAGACTGAATTCGGCGGGTGTTGGTGGTTTCCACTCTAGCACTTTGTTGTGCAGCGGGGGTGAGGATGCGAAGACGGTTCCATACGCATGGGGCTCTTCACTGGCGCTGTCTGTGGTCTTTGATGCTGACTGCAAAACTGCTTCAGTTCGTTCTCAACTGGACAGTGACCTGCCTGAAAACTGTATAATGGGACATGAAAATGAGGGTTTGTTTTGTCCAATAAACTGTCTAATAAAAGCATTATACAGCAATTGTATTTGAGTCATTTGCTGATCCTGCTGTCAGAAGCTGGTAAAGTCGAGGTATGAGCAGAACCTGAAGGTGTGAATTGTCATGACTGGAGAAGCCATCGCTGAAGGACAGGCACGTCTACCGCTTGTCCTTTTTCTGTCCCAGGCCGTGCCAGTTAACTACAGGAATGCAACTCTCAATTGTTTGTTTCCAGCATTTTCTACAAATTGACTGCATGTGTAGCTCTTGTCCTGTGCTGGATTAGCTGAGCTCTTAGGCCAATGATTGTCTTCCCGGACTGTTCATTGTTATCCCCAACAGGGAACCTAAGCATACTGATGACTGTCTGCTGCCTCCAACTCAGTTAAGTGGAAATCGTAGGTGTGAGGTCCACATGTATGAACTTTTAAAATTCCCAGGGGATTCTGATAAACGCAGGGATGGGGACCACTCTCCTGAGCCCTCTCTACTTGTCTACTAAATTATATACCTCACTGTGAGAATAGACTATATGCCACCCCACGATGAACGCGCCACTATTGTACCATGGTGGATATCTTACCAGGCCAGTCAGATATTCCCTTCTATTGCTCTCCACCTTTATTGCTCAGGATCTCTCAGAGAAGTAGGAACTCACCCACCCACTGATAGACTAGCTAGCCGGCCAACAAGCCCCAGCGATCCTCCTGCCTTTCCTTCCCGGGGCTAGAAACGCTGGGAGGGAGTGCATTGCCATGCCAGATTTATGCCTGGGTGCTCGGGATCCAACCTTGGGACTTCAGGCTAGTGCAGCAAATACCTCTCCAGGCCTCCGTCATTTGTAAAAGTAATATTTTTATTCTATGGGATTTCATACATGAGTATGATATATTTTGGTCATTTACATCCCCAGTGCTCCCAGATCCATCTCCAGCTCTTCACCCTCCCCCAACTTGTCTCTTTTTAATCCCATGGAGTCTTGTTTGTGCTGTTTATATGCTCATGGGTGTTGGACCATTCACAGGTGTGTGGTAGCCCCCCGCCCCCATGGACCACACCCTTAAAACTGCTCTCCTCCAGAAGCTACCAACTGCCCATAGCTTCTCAGATGGGGTGGGGACTCAAGGCCTTTCCTTTCCAGTCTGGAACGTCACCTAACCTTGATCTTGCGCAGGAAAACTCCAGCTGCTGTGGGTTGTGGGTTCATGGGTTCTGTCAGGTTCAGAAGATGCTCTTGGTCTGGTCCTCCCTGATCGCTGGCTCTTAGAGTCTTTCTGCCTCCCTTCCTCAGGGGTCCTGATTCTGGGGGGGGGGGGAGGGGCTGCCATTCTTAAATGTGGAAAATCAGGCTCAATCATTATGAAATCATTAACTGAAGCCCCGTTTCTCAAGAATAGGAAGATAGTGGCTTTGAGAGGTAGGCAGAAGAAAATGGGGAGGGATTCCTATGAAAACTCCAGCCACCTGGCTAACACATCTTCCGCTGCTCCAACTGACTATGTGAAGTTGGAGCTTTGTTTTCGGTGTCTCTCAGGATTCTGTCATATTCTCAGAGTTCTCTCCTTGGAGAGACTCATTCCCAGATCAAATTCTTCCATAATGGAAACAGCTGAGCCATCTTCCTTTTTTTTTCTTATTTTCTTTCTTTCTTTTTTTTTTTCGAGACAGGGTTTCTCAGTAGTTTTTTGGTTCCTGTCCTGGAACTAGCTCTTGTAGACCAGGCTGGCCTCAAACTCCCAGAGATCCACCTGCCTCTGCCTCCCGAGTGCTGGGATTAAAGGCGTGCGCCACCACCGCCCGGCTTCTTTTTAAATGCACACATGAAGCTATTTTATTCTCTTAAGTTATTCGTGTAAGAAAAGAATACTTTGAGAAAAATTAAATTCCATCCTCTGCACTCACTTCCCCCAAGGGCAACAACCACGGTTGATCATAAAAAAAACTGCAGCTGGTTCCCCATTGTGTGTGTGTGTGTGTGTGTGTGTGTGTGTGTTAGAAACAACTTAGGTATGGAAAGGTTTACTTGGTCTTGTGAACTCAGAGGTCCCTGCCCATGATTGGCTGGCACCATTGCTTTCAACCTGAGCAGAGGCAGAATCTTCACAGCAGAAAGCACATGGCCTAGCGGAGATGCTCACTCCATGGTAGTCACAAGGTAGAGGGAGAGGTGAGGGGAAAGAGGAAGCGACATGGTTGGGCAAGGCATATCCTTCAAATTTGCCCCTCGCTGCCCTGTTTTCTCCCGTCAGGATTCATTTCCTCAAAATCCCCTGAAGAAATTAGTCCCCCTGGGATCCCTTGACCCTAGGGTTCACCCTTCAAAAGGACAGGAGCCTTAGGGGATGAGAGGGGTATTTCCCATCCAGACTTCATCCGTCCAAACTTCCCATCCAAACCTTAGCACCGATCGAAACTGCCCACTGTATCTCAGTCTAAGGAAAAACCACGTCCTCACTCTCTAACAAGACTCTCTCCTCTATTGAAGAACTACTAGTGCCCAGGTGTTAGCTGTGCCCAGGTCCAAGATGGAAGAACTCTGGGTCAGTGGGTCTTTGCAGGTCTGCTGTCTAGCAGCAGTTTCCCGGGTCTATGACAGTCTTTCATGCATGTTTGGGTGACCTCCAGCCCCAGGTTTAGGGAACGATCCACATTCTGGATCGGAAGATGTAGGTGCTTTCTCAACTACCCCTGGCTGCCAGAAAACGCATATCTCCCTCCTACATCCATCTCAGACACAGTTTGCTAAACTTCCCCATCTTCATGACATCCCAAGCCCCACTGGTCCGGCTCTGTGAACTATGGTGGGTAACCACTAGGGGCGCTGAGAGGAACTGCCAGTGAACCTGCAGGAAAGGTTCACTGTGTCCAGCAGTTTGTCAGGGATTCAGGGAAGCGTCACAGAATCTCCAGCTCTGGATTTGGACTGTGCTCACTTTCACCTAAGGTCAGAGCTGTCCTGGCCCCGAGGGCTGCTCTGGTTCTTGGAAAGACTCCGATCCCGGGAAACAAGGATGCTCCTCGGCCGGGTGAACACTCCCTCGCCTTCCTTTCTTTTTGCGGCTGCAACTTCCCAATGATCTGGGCAGTGCATCGGGGATGGAGATAGAGAACAGAGAGGAAAGGGACATGGAGTAAGGAAGGGGGTGGGGAGGCTGGAGGAGAAACCAGGGGAATCTAGACAATAAGAAGAAAATTGCAAAGCAAAATAAGGAAACCCTTTTCCGGCGGGGCGGGGGGGGGGGGCGGGGGCAAAGGATTGTACGTTGCACAAGACACCAGCGATCCACTTCCCGGATCCTAAAGTGTTAAACCCACTTTCTCATTCTCTGAGAGACAATCCACACGCCAAGAGCTGAACAGAAGGAACGTGAGTGCGGCGATTCTTTAGGTTGTAAATTGAGGGTGCTACGACCCTATCTGACTATAGGAAAGGTGCTTGAGGAAAAAATTGTGGGGTATGATGGAGACTGAGAATGGGTTTGGTCACCTACAGTGAGTCAGAGTAGTACCGACTGTGTGGTTCCATGGTGTAATGGTGAGCACTCTGGACTCTGAATCCAGCGATCCGAGTTCAAATCTCGGTGGGACCTTTATCTTTAGTCCATTGTAGGATCCATTTTCTTAGCACAGGAAGGAAAGGGGATCAGGCACTTCTCTCCTACTCTAGGCCATTTGCACTAGCGGCAGATGTGTCCCAACTTGCTCAGTTTAGAGACACCAGTACACAGCATAGCTTCCTAGACACCGCAATAGGGTATCCCATCCTTGGCCACCTGACTCTCCTGGGACTCACCGTCACATCGGAGGCCAAAGACCCGCAGGTCCCTTCCTGTACTCATGTGAGTTGAGCCTGGAAAGATTCCCGAACCAACAAGGCTGCACACCGCGTGCTGGCTGCCCGCACCCCCCAGCTACCTCTCCTGTTTCTGCACCCGACGAATGAGAGGAATTTAAGCGCTAGCCCCTCTTACCTTGGTCTTGGATTTGAGCAATTTCAGCGCGTTTCAGTTCGTCGAAACCAGCAGGGGACGCAGTTGTCTTCCGCTGCGTTTGGTTGGGGAATCTCTTTAAATATTAAGTTTATACAAAAAGAGCTGAGCCTGGGAATGCTAGAAGACGTTTTAAACGGACCGTCCAACGGAGGAGCCTGAAGAAACCCAGGTGACTTCTCCCCGGGCCGCGAATCACTGCAGCGGAATTCCTTCTGCCAGAACTCTGCGCCAGGAAAACTCCATTGGAAAAGATCGTGGGAATGCTAGAAGACGTTTTAAACGGACCGTCCAACGGAGGAGCCTGAAGAAATTTAAATAATTGTTTTCCTCTGGTTGGAATTCTGAGTAGTTAGGAAGTGCTGCAAAGTGTATCTGCTGTTTTAGAGAGTTCTGTCTGGGACCTGAAAAGAAATGGAAGGAAGGGCCCAACAGAGGTGGTTGAGAGAGGCCAGAAAGGCAAAAAGGTCCCAGCTCGGTGATCAAGAGGGCCGGGACTGGCTCCTCTCTCCTAGGTAACCTGCAAGTAAAAGGCTTCAGCCGGTCGTAACTGGGTCAGTGTCTCTCAGGAAAGTAAACTTCTTTGGTTACTTAAGCCCCTAGAACAGCGGTTCTCAACCTGTGGGTCATGACCTCTTTTGGGGGGCAAAGGACACTTTCAGAGGGGTCGCCTAGGACCATCGGAAAACAGTTTTTTTTTTACATTATGATTCATAAAAGTAGCAAAATTGCAGTTATGGAGTAGCAATGAAACAATTGTATGATTGGGGTCACCACAACATGAGGAGCTGTATTAAAGGGTAGCAGCATTAGGAACTGAGAACTTTGCTGCCTTAGGACCTGGGCTCCCCTCTCTGGGTGGCGGCTCCTGCATCAAATGTGAATATTTAATGTCATTTTCATTGGCTCTCTAGCTCCCATAGGGGCTCAGTGGGCAGTGCCTGGACCCTGCTCTTGTGCCAAATTTTGACAATGGGTAAATACACCATCCCCCAAGTCTAGAATCTTGTTTGGGTGTGGGGAGGGGGAGCTACCTGCTCCAGGCAGGACAA